GGCCCCAGAATTTTTGGTGCCTTTCAAACACCTTTGTTTTCAAAGTGTCAGAGGTTTTGTTGCCTTTCTACTGCCTTGGTTTTCCTTCAGTATAAGCATATTTGCCTGAAAAGCTGAATACTGTAATACTGTAAAAGTCTGTAATTCTGTGGAGCCCAGCAGGCATGCTTCATACACAGGGATGCAGTGGTTGCCTCTCCCAGTTTCACGTGAAGTTCTGCAGATGCTGTGTTTAAATATTGTATTGTCCCCATCAAGAAAAAAACATTATGCAGCTAATGGAATACAGGCATGATTAAAGGAACATCCAAGATGAAATTCCATTAATTCTGTAGCAAGACCTCTGTTGATGAGGGTTTTTTTCTGTATGCGCCCTTCCTATTGGTGGCCTCATGGCCAGGATTTTTTGTCATGACAGCCGTCACCTTTGAAGTGTGCTTCTCTTTTCCTCTGCAGGTGTCTGTGTGTGACAGGGTACACTGGACTAAACTGTGAAGTGAACATCAATGACTGTGACTCCAGTCCCTGCTTAAACCATGCCACCTGTGTGGATGCCTTGAACTCGTACGTTTGTAAATGTCCCCCTGGCTTTACAGGCAGCAGGTGTGAAACAGGTACACAGGACCAAGTGTCAGAAAAAGGTGGCTTGACTAAGTCTCTGGGCAAGATTTGCACTGGCAATTTGTGTAATTGCAGACAAGTAATGGCATGTGTGCTATGTCATATTTATATTCATTTCTCTTTTCTAAGGCGCAGTTCTATCTTTTTAATACCTAGTAGGTCTACTGAGCGTAATTGGTATTTGCTCTGTGTATCTGAGTTGATTAGCTCTTTCTGTTTCTTGTATTTCATGTAGGGCTTTGCATCACAGGGTTAGAGATTAGTATGTGGTAGTCTCAGCTGTGGAAGTCCTAAAGGCATCAAGTTCCCAATGATTGGATGAAATGGGTCACACCTGGCGCAACTTCCTGAGTGATGCTGGAGTTAGGCCACACAACTGCAAGGCTCAAATCTGTTTGTCTTTTAGCCACTCCATTAAAATTATTAAGTGTTACACTAGTCCCTAGTGAATCTTTAAATAGAAACTGAAGAACCTGTGTTGATTTTACAGACTGCAGTAGAGGATATGTAGGTCATTTAGACCTACCATCCTATGTCTGAGTTCAGTAACACCCAGCTTTCAGGAGAGCTCCGCTTGGTATATTTACATGTAGAATCCTTGCAAAGCATGTCACTGCATCGAGGAGCAGCACAGAAGTGCTATTCCATTACAGTGCAGTGTATTTCAGTAAGTCCACAGCAGAAAAAAACGTTCATTGGTTGGTTGTTTTAAATCTTGACTCCTGTGAATAAAATGGAACCATCTGATCACACCTCTTTGGTTTGTTGGATGGGTGATGGATACATCATTTCATTGATAGGAGGCTAAAAAGCAAGGTTCATGTTCATTGTTTGATAGATAATCAGCTTCTTTTGCCCGTTGTTTTTCTTCAAACCCTGTGTGTTTCCTACCCTTGGAAACCTCTGTATGCTAGCTGACGTTAGACTGCTACACATGCTTTCTACCTCTGATCAATTTAAAGTGAACAATTGTTGCAGTTGGGCAGTGTTCCATTTTATTGCATTTGCTTAAAGTTAATTTGATTCTGGGTTTTCAGGAATGTAGCTCTGAAAACTCTGTCTTTGTTGCAGAACAGTCCTCTGGTTTCAATCTTGATTTTGAAGTCTCTGGTATCTATGGATACGTCATGCTTGATGGTGTTTTTCCATCCCTTGGTGACATCACATGTACATTCTGGATGAAGTCCACTGACACCACGAACTACGGGACTCCCATTTCTTATGCAGTGGAGAATGGAAGTGATAATGCATTTCTTCTGACTGATTACAATGGGTAAATCACAGTTCTGCTTTTCTGTAGCTTACAGATGTCTTCAACTGATAAAGAAAGCATAGACCAGAACTCTGTGTATCAGCTTTGCCTGCTCTGGGGTGGAAAAATCTGCATCCAAACTCCATCGCAGGAATCTCTGTTTCGTTGTTCTCTTTGCTTTGTTTCCTCTTTCCTTCATGTTTTGCCAAAAGAAGAGTAATGACAAGAAAGCAGTGAATTTTAGAAAGCAGGATATTTTTTGTCTGGGCTATGTTTACATCACATTTAAATGACATATTGAGACAATGATTGGATAAAATGGAGCTCAGCACTTGGAGTACTTGCAGTGTTACTCCAAAAGCAGGGATGGACCCAAGGGGCAAGTTTAGGAATCCATTATGCAACCATGACTTGAGTCTTCATGTTTTGGTACAAAAGTACATTACTTGTTTCTCCATGCTTTCCGTATGATTACTGTAACTTCAAGTTCTCTGAAAGAGAGATAGCTTGTAAAGTCATCTTTCAAGAGAGATTTTTTCTGTGATGTAGACATGGTTACGTTGTTTGGCGAATAGCATTTCTTTGAGTCATGTGGGACAGGCCATGCTTTTAACGTTGCTGCCATGCAACTGAGTATGCCTTTGCCTTCCTTCCTTGCAGCTGGGTTCTTTATGTAAATGGGAAAGAGAGAATCACAGACTGTCCTTCAGTGAACGATGGTAACTGGCATCACATTGCAGTCACATGGACATGCACGGATGGGGCATGGAAAGTGTACATTGATGGAAAGCTGTCTGACGGAGGCAGCGGTCTCTCTGTTGGCTCAAAAATCTCTGGTATGCTTTGTTGATATTACACCGGATTCTGGTTTTATTGCAGAAAGTGCAAGCTAGACACTGTAAAATATGCCCTCTCTGCTCAAAACTGCGTTTTGCATTGCTCTGTAATATGCTGGAAATACAGGGATAGAAGTGGTCTTCTAGAGCAAATACCATTCCTGAAGCAGCCATGTCAAGTTTGTGCTCTCATCAGCATGAGTTTAGTATTAATGTGTATTTGAGAGTCAATTCCCAACTGCTAATGCCATCTTACCTCAGTCTAGCATAAGGCTGCCCAGAGTTTTGGTAAGACAATTTGTTGAAAATGGATGTTTTCCTGTGCTACAAAATCTTAGCAACATAGAATAGCAAAAGTTTGGCTTTGCTTAATTTTTATCTTCCTGTGGGGATCCCTGCTTTGTTTCCTATCCCTGTTCTAATTCTTTCTGAGTTTAGGTGGTGGTGCACTTGTACTGGGACAAGAGCAAGATCAGAAAGGAGAAGGATTCAACCCAGCTGAATCTTTTGTGGGCTCCATCAGCCAGCTCAACATATGGGACTATGTCCTGTCTCCACAGCAGGTAAGTCCTTACCGCAGTGTTTGAGCACAGGGTTCTGAGCCTAAGATGAACATTTCAAAAAGACATTCCATGTTTGCATATTAGGCAAACCTCTGTTCCTTCGTAAGTCAGCGGGGACCAGATGATGCTCTGGCTGAGGGTAATAAGAGCGTAGTGAGTGGAGTAGCTTTGGGCAAAACTAGAAGTGGTAAAATGAACAGTGAGTTGCCTCCTATTTTGACTGAGCCTTTTTGTATTATATAGCTTTGAAAGAGAAACGAAATACACAAAAACTAGCAGTGGTGCTAGAAGAGGGAGAGAACCCAGTGAAACAAGCTAAAGGCTTGTTTTACAGGTGACCGTTCCCCCATCCTGCTGTGTGAAGGCACCGGTGAAACTTCATAGGGGAGGCATCAGAATTTCCATCAGTGCACTAGACACTATGAAAAATCTGAGCTACACAGTCCCAGGAAAAGTGTGAATGGGCAGAATAACTGAATATTAGGCTACTTCTATTCAGGTACCAAAAATTAAGGTGTAGCTCTAAACTTTCACATGGTTTAAAAATCAGGGTAGATCAAAATATGTCTGCAAGGACAGTGATCCCTCAGCTTCTCTGGGAGACAAGCTTCAGTGCTCAGTTATCCTCAGAGTGAATTTTTTTTCTTTATACCTACTTCAGTTTATGACTATGGTTTCTGTCTCCCACCATGCACTGCTGTGAGGAGCCTGACTCTATACTTGATTACCTCCCCATAGGTACCAGGGGTCTGCTGTTAGGTACACCCAAAGCTGTCTCTGCTCCAGGCTGAACCAGCCTTGGTCCCACAGCATCTCCTCACAGGACAATTGCTCCAGCCTATCACCTTTTTGATGCCTTCCACTGAACTTGCTCCAGCTTGTCCGTATCTCTTCTTGTGCTGCGGAGCCCCGAATGTAACGCAGTACTCGAGGTGTGGCCTAATAAGCACTGAGAAGAAGGAATAATCCCTTCCTTGGTTTTCTGGTTGTGACCCTATTCACACAGCTGAGGATGCTGCTGGTGCTCATTATTGCCCGGGTGCACAGCTGGCCTATACGCTGCCTGCCAGAGCTCCTTTCCCACGAAGCTGCTCACTGTCCAGGCTTTCCTCATCCTGTATCGTTCAGAAGTGTTTCCTTCCCATTTGTTCTTGTTAATGCATCTGTGTAGGCCCATTTCTTCAGCCTGTCAGGGTCACTATGGCTGCATCTGTGTCCTTGAGCATACTGACTGGGCCTCCCAGCTTGATATTATCTGCAAACCTGATGACTGTTTGCTCCATCACCACTTCCTCGTCGTTAGTATTTTATCATCCTGTATCGTTCAGAAGTGTTTCCTTCCCATTTGTTCTTGTTAATGCATCTGTGTAGGCCCATTTCTTCAGCCTGTCAGGGTCACTATGGCTGCATCTGTGTCCTTGAGCATACTGACTGGGCCTCCCAGCTTGATATTATCTGCAAACCTGATGACTGTTTGCTCCATCACCACTTCCTCGTCGTTAGTATTTTAATCCCCAGGCATTTCTTGGGGAAAGATAGTCTTTGGGATAAAAGGGTTTGCTCTTCTGCTGGGGGGTTTTGGAGTGGTTTTTTTGAGGTTATACCACTATTTGGGGGTTTATCACTGTTTGTTATCCATGACCCAAATAAGAAATAATAAAATTAACAGAAAATAGAAGTAAAGCAGAATCTTTGCTTCCAGCATGTCTCCTCTGCTTCTTTCTCCTTCTTTTCTCCTGCTTTGGCTATCTGCTAGGTTCAGAACTGCCCAGGAACTTGATACTGTTCTTGGCTTTTGGGGTCATCAGTTGTTGCATTGCCAAGTCAAATCTTCAGGTTTTTGTTCACTAGCACTGTTGAAGCTGGTAAGTGTGCATACAGTTTTACAGCACACGCCTGTGAAGAAGTTAAGTGCAGTTTTCCATGTCTTTCTCAGTAGTCGCCTGTCTTTAATTACAGGCTTGATTAAGTTGCCATTTGCTTCAAATGCAGTACAGTTAGGACGAGGAAGAAAATCCTGCCCTTCATTTATGGTATCCATATTACTCATCTGAACAGACAGATGTGAGACCACATAGGGAGCTGAGCCAAGTAAGCTTCCTAGAAAATGTTTACCTCATTCGTTTCAGAGCTTGGGACAGTAAATTGCTATCATTATTTGTTATTATCTGTTTTGTTGTGGCCAGCTGGAACTACTCATTAAGTCTTACCTTGCTGTTCACAGCCATAAAGGAAAGCAGGGTGACAGAATATGTATAAAGGGAAAGTCTACTCTTTTAAGATTTTTTTTGTGTACTTTAGATGCTCATCCACTTGCACATTGATTTTGTATAGGTAAACCAACAGTCTGGTTGTTTTATTGCTGAGTAGACAGCAGTAGAAATAGGAGTTTTCTCATATGGGACTGTGAGGTTCTTTCTGGCCTTCCATTCTCCATCATATGGCTTGGAAGGGCTAATTCCCAAACCTGCTTTTTCCACACCGAAAATTTTTCCTTGCGGTTTCTTTGCAGCCCTTAGCCTACGCAGTTTCCATCAGCACATACTGTTGAGGTGAGATCTTTGAAATGGCCTCAGAATAAACAAAGCAGGTTGGTCTCTTCTCCAGCTAAGCTGACTCTAGGAGAGTCTGATCCGCCTCACTGGGGTTCAGGTTAGGGGGGATGTGAGAAAATTCAGCCTGAGGTTCATGGTACTTTCCTTTCTCACAGAGACAGACAGTGTAGCACAATATTCTTGGTAGGTAATTTCTTCCACTGGAGACTTGAGAGAAGCCAGTCTCCATCTGCAGAATGCAGTTGCCCAACGGTTGGCATGAACTGGGCACACCTGTGCTTTCTTTCTGACCAGCCAGCTGTGCCCTGAAGCCACGCTGCATGTGTTGTACAGGTAGGCTGGCTGTGCTGAGATGTACACAGCCCACTAGGCTGCCCATTTTTTTATCTTAATTCATTTTTCACGCTGCTGAAGGAAACATTCCTTTCTCCCTTCCAGGGATTTAATGGAATGACCCTACAGCACGGAAGAGCCAAAGAGTAGGAAGTAGTCTCAGTAGCCTAATTAGAACATGTTCTCTTAATTGAATAATCATCTTTGCCATAGACCACTTCCCTCTCTGATATCTTAAAAAGAAGAGGAAATCCTTAAATATCCCTTTACTGTGCATTTATCCTCCCCAAGGCACATGGTTTTTTTCAGCAGTTCCATGGCTGAAATATGATTGTGTCTGCACTTAGAGGGAGAAACATAATGGGGAGTACTTCTGGGACTATGTTTCCTTTCTGTTCCTGGACTTACAGTGAACAAAGGCAATGCAGAGTGGATCCAAAGCCCTGGTCTTTCATTTGCAGTTTTAAAGCACTTTCATGTATTAGAAATCTCCCTGAGCATCCAATGGAACTAGACTGCCTGCTTTTTCACACATGTAGGGATCAGGACATCTGAGCTCCTTCTATGGGACCACTATAAAATCTTTATGTGACATCCCATCACTGAGGGTCTCCCTGCGTATTCTTACTATTGCATAGAATTTCCACTGGTGTCTGAATATCTGAAAAGTGCTGTGCCATCTCGGGTGGTGGTCCCCAGGTTCCTTCTATTGGTGGCCAGATAGAAATACAATAATGTTACTGTGTTTAATAGATTCTCAGTCACAGGGCAGAAGTAGAAATATTTTTACCTTATTGAAATGGGTTTTTTTTAATACAGTGCAATACAATACATATTTAGTAAAATACAATACTGAAGCAGCGTAAGGATTCCCCGTGGCATTACAGTTTCTTGTAGTAAGAACACAAAAGAAAACCCTAGTGGTGCCATTAAAGGGGTTATGTTTTAAATGGAAAACTTTTCCATCAAAGATACTTGACCAGATCTGCTCTCAAGATAATAATCTGCTGTTGATCTAACAGTGTGTTCCTTTCTTTCTCCTGTCCTTAATTTGCCTATATAACTCCTGTTTCAGCGCATGGTTAGTTAGGGCCTTGTCTTGCTTTGGTTGAAGTCAGTGCCAATGCTGCTGTTGGTTTCGGTGTGGGTAGTCCTTGCCTGCAGTGCTCTGAAGAGCCACATAATAGCCTAATGCGTTGAATTCACAAAACTGTTGTCCTGGAAACAGCAGATTGCTTTATTAAACTTCTCCTTTTTGTGTTTCTGTTCCTTAAACATGATGCAGCGCTAGCAGAGTTTGAGGAATGCAGATCTTCAACATTACGTTCATTTTGGCTCCTATTTGACATTTTTCTTCAAAAACATCACGTTTCTCCTCAGATTGCATTCTCATATCTGCCTTTTCTGTGGCATAAATACATTTTTCTTTCACACTAACAAATGTTTCAAGAACTATGTTTTATACTTGGCCTGTATGACAAGTATTCCTTCAGGTACTGCCTCAGTACAGGCCTGTCCACAGCAAGCTGGCTTGTAAGTACAGAATAACAAGTAGTTCAGCCTCTTGCGCTAGAAAGGATGAACATCAATTATTCAATGATTTGTGGTAGTGTTGCATGCAGACATGGAAGGAATACTTTTTTACATTCTTCTCCCACATGGTCCTTAAACAGCACCTAATCAACTTTTTTAAATCCATAGGTAAAATCTCTGGCTACATCCTGTCCAGAAGAACTCCAAAAAGGAAATGTATTAGCCTGGCCAGATTTCCTGCCAGGAGTTGTTGGAAGAGTGAAGATAGATTACAAGAGTATATTTTGTGCTGGTTAGAACTTTATTTCCTAGAACCCTTTTTTTCTGAACAATATTATAAGACTCTTTCAGGAGGTCAAATATGCTAGCTTTCAGCCTTTGCCCTACAAACCTTGAATAAATTACTTTGATAATTTGACAGTTAGAACATTCAGTCCTTCATTCCTCAAATTCCAGGGTTTTGTAACAAAAGTTCATTGGAATCTCTGACAGAGATCTATTGCTTCCTGAACTGAGATG